CGCCATTGTTGTTTGGCGGGCCCGGGCTGGATTCGAACCCGCCACCTTAGGTGTATGTGGCTGGTGCCTTAGCCACTTGAGCCACAGGCACTGAGCTGAGGCTCCTGTTTCAAAAAAAAACAAAAAAACACTGACTCCTGAGAGAGGGTAACTTCATTGGTGTTACATGAAATATTACATTTTGTGTTAAAAGGTATCTTGCCTATGTACAATATAACCATGATAACTGAGCAACTGAGAGCAACACCAAGAAAAAAATGTCAGAAGGCATATAAACGAATGCTGTAATAAATGAGAACTAAAATAACCAGCTTTAAAAGGAAAAAAAAATCCTCACCTCTAAGAAGCTTTGCTATTATCAGAAGAGTATTTGCAGATACTCTTTGCTCTCTGGGTCTTGTCGAACATGTATACAGCTGGCACTTAATCTGCACTGGTTTGTTTGTTTATTTGTTTGGGGGGGGGTTTGCAGTTTTTGGTTGGGGCTGGTTTTGAACCCACCACCTCTGGCATTTGGGGCCGGCACGCTACTCCTTTGAGCCACAGGCGCTGCCCTATGCTGGGTTTATAAGACATTCGTTCACACCAATGTGCAAGGGCAGTAGTCCTAGTCCTTTTGTGAGACTACAGCTGGTTGACATGAAGAAGCACCTTTGATAAGCCCCTGCTATAGATAAAATCTTGACATGTTCTTTCAGTACCATCCCTAGACCTGAACAAGGAAGAACCCTTCTTTGGGCCCTGCATTTTAGAGAGTTTCAAATATCTAAATCACAATATGTAAATTTATTCATGAAAAATATGGTATCTTTATCCTTGGCATCAGCATTCATAGCAGACACAGAATGACCACAACTCTCAACACCATGCTGGCGACTAACACCTTCAGGCCCCAGAGAAATGCTTCTCCACACCTCCTGCCCATGTCCTTGAAATAAGATAATAGTGCCACACTCCCTTGAAAGTTCACAAGTTGTAGTGTAGCACTGCCAATGTCAGAGACTATACTGCTTTCGAGTGTGGAGAGAAATCAGGTGGCAAAGATGCCACGGTAAAAGATAAATAAGCACGTCATCCTTCCTTTTAGATAGCAGACATGCGAAAGATAAGGGGATATCATTTCCCAGCTGGGCCAAGGGTCCAAGTCCTTGCTCTCTACATGTTCTAATCATGGTTCCAGAGGTGCTCACTAAATACATCTGCAACCACTGCAACAGGACACTTCCCAATGCTGAACACCCCCTATTACTCCTGCATGGTTTATGCACAAGTGCAGGTATAACATGCCTGGAGCAAGACAGTGATTAATTCACATTGGCACCTGGCTGGAAACTGAATAGTAGAGTTGCAAGTAGCTTTATAATTAAGTGCTTCAGATTTAAAATGTGAGATCTAAATAATTTTGGTAATACTTTGTAAATTGACCACCCAAGGGACTGTAACAAACTGGTCGACATATAGAGGTGGTCAACATAGGAAACCAGGCCTACTGTACTGATATGTACATGTGGTGTCTGTCTGTCTATGAAAATTAGGTCAACTCAAGGAGGTTGGTCAGTGCGGGGAGGTGGTCACCTGTAGAGGCTCTACTATATGTGAACAGACCATGGGTCATATTCTCTCATCCTGCCCCACAAACGCCAGGGTGGGGTTGGCAGTACTGGGACAGGATGGAGCATATTACTCTCCAAAGTCCATGTGCTCTGTCCGCCTCTCACCCAAGAACACTAGGTCAGGGCCATGCACACAGGGAGTGCCCATCATCGAGGCGGCTGCTGGACACAAACTCAGCTGGGAAACAACTTACACCAAAAAACCATGCAAACAAGGAGACTTTTCCCTGCCACTAGAGAACAGGAGCCGAGCAGTGTGTAAGGGGGGTGGGCCAGGAACAAGGAGGCCTGACCTGCAAGAGCTCTGCTCCGAGGGAAGCAGGAGGAAGCTGCCTATGACCGAGGACTGCATTCCACGAAACACCTGGTCCAGTTTAAAGCTCAGTGCTAAGGGTTGGCATGCCTACATGGTGCACATCTTGGCTTGGAAGGAAAAGGTAAAGACCTTGTTTCTGTCCTCCCCACCCCACACTCCCCAGAAGTTTACCACCTTCTCATCAGCTTCAGTATGAAACATTTTACAACATACTAAGTGAAATAAACCAGACGTGAAAGGACAAACACCGTATGAGGTACCTGGAATGGTCAAATTCAGAGACAGAAAATCGAAGTGAGGTTTCTAGGGGCCACGTGGGGAGAAGAGATGGGGAAGCTACTGCTCACCAGGGACCAAGTTGCAGATTTGCTCCACGAGGAGTTCTGGAGAAGGACAGTGGTGATGGCTGCACAATGATGACACCACTGAGTTGCTAACTGCCACTGAATTGTTAAAAATCGCTAATGTGATAGGTTTTATGTTACATATATTTTGCCACAATAAGAATAAGTAAAAGCAATGGTGACAAAAAAAAAAAAATCTTAAAGACACAGGGAAAAGCAGGACCACCTTAAACACAGGCCTGGGTTAGTAATAGGTAGACAGTCCTGTCCTAAGTCAGAGTTAGGCACATTTTCATCTTTATGCAAGAGAAACCCACACTACTGGGCTTCAGGTGAAGAGGATGTTGGGGTGGATTCTCCAGCCAGGCTAGTATACCAAGCTTCAGAAGAGAGTTTCTTCAAGTATTCAGAATGAAACCGTGTAACTTCTGTGCTCAGGCCTCTGGTCCACAGCTCTGCTGAGCTGCTCACAATGACAGCTCAGAGCCAGCTGTGGACAAACCACAGCCCATGGGCACCTAAGCAGAATCAGGTGTTCAGAGCCCATGATTTCTCAAGAGCTGCTCATCTCCAGCCCCAGGATTCCTTTCTAATTACACACTGACCGGCCTTATAGCAGGGGAAGGAGGACACAGGCCTGGGTAGCTGCCAGGATTAGTCATGCAGGGCCAAATTCGATTTCAGCAGGGGAGGCAAGCATCTGCTCTGTTTTAGCAACATGGCAGATCATTCCGCACTGCCTCCGTGCGACTTTTTAAGAATACCCGCCCACTTGAAAAGATCAACTGAAATGAAATCCGCTGGAGTAGAAGATACTCCATCCAAGTGCGTGGACTAATTTCATTTTGTTTCAGGC